TTTTCATCTTTTCACGGTGTATAATTTACCTTTTCATCATTACTGTTTCATTAGAAACACCGACGCAGCTCACACTAGTTTTTAGCTAGTTATATCTTCTTAAATATAACAGAAAATAATGTGTTAACACCACAAACAATAACGTTGCCGGTATACGGTGAATCACCGATATAAGATCTGACTGGATATGTGAAATTAAACTATTTGAAGATAACCTAAATAAGAATCGAGTATACATTGTAGGTGGAAATGTTTTTACTTAAAAGATATTTCGGTAAGCCATTACTTGCCTTCTTCATGTAATGAAGAAATTACATTATCAATTTTGTTGTTTGTGGTGGTCCACCTACTGTGTACAGGATTTTTATTTATTTTTAAATCTCAAAAAAACGCATGTAGGGAGCACCAGGCATGCAAGACTAAACAAATCGAGATGGCGTCTAAAAATCCACAAATTGCCATCGATGCTAGAGGGAAACAATTTGTGTTCTCCAACTCCATAAACTAAAATGATAAAACTTAAAAATTTAAAACAATATTTAACAAAGGATAAGAAAGGAATGGAATTTCGCAGCACTTCAAAAGAGAAAATATGCCTTGACGCAGTATGAACTCAACAAGAACGGAATCACAGCTGGCTATCTGGTTTCTTTTGAAATAGATCAAGTAAAGGTTAAACGTACGTGTGCGAGTCAGATGCAAGGATATACACTGAAACAGCAGATGTTTTGGTAATTTTGTAATTTTATTACTACCGCACCCTTGTGATATAACTACTCAAGTTGTACTTGTAATATGAAACATTAGCTAAACCAGGTGAGTAAGACATTACAGCGCTTCTCAATCACACGCGCAAAATTGTACAATTTTCTGTCGCGAAAAAATAGAGTTCTGGTGGACGTCAATCAAATTGTTTCCATGACATTGTCAGAAAACACAAAGCGTTCAAGGTCACGTGCCAATGGAGTGTCATGGAAACGTCTTGATTGACGTCCATCACTCGCGCATCGTCGTTGACAGTATGCATTAAAATATTTTTCTAAAAAGTGTCGTTTTACCCCTGCATTACATGGTCCATTGTTGAATGAACTAGAAACTCTATCGTCTATCGACTATACTTGAAACTTAGGAGCAGGCGTAACTCAGTTGGCTAGTGCGATTCCTACAGAGCTAGAGGTCCCTCGTGATCTCCACGTCTGTTTCGACTTCTCTCTCATCTTTGTAGCTTCAGCTTTGAATGCTCTTAAAACAGAGTACTGATGGAGAAAGTGGGGTAAAGTGCGCACTGACGTTAAATAAGGCCTCTTTTCTAAATATATGTCGAATGTCATCAAAAGATTAGTTACAAGGACTATAAAATTTTAATAAAAACGAAAACAAAACTGCCCATCTTCAGCTCTGCCTCCTTGATGTGCGAGACTTAGGGCATCACCTTGATCTCTCCTGGGTTTACTCAGTGCACCTGCGCAACGTACCGCTAGCTTGATGTTAAGACATGTTAAGCTGTGACGTATTTCCGGGTCCAACTGCTCAAACAAAAACAGCAGTAATATAATATAAAAAGAAAAATGTTTCTTGTAAAAATCTTTCCCATGCGCTTGACGTCACAGCTAAGCCTCTCTGTAATGTGTGGTATCATGAACTAACGTCATTTCCGGTCTCGTGTGGAGGTGTACTGTTTCCTTGCTTTGTTTAGCGTTAGTGCATTATCCTGACTTATGGATTTACGTCGGGTTTTTTAATCTATGATGTAAAACAAATGTATATTTCAGGAGTTCCAAAGATGAAGATTCCGTTTGTCTTTTTCCTCGTTGTCATGGGTACTGGCTGGAGCTTGAGCACTGCTGGTAGGTATAACGAGAGAGGAATCTAGGTGTCTCATCGTGTTAGCAACTGAGTTAAAAACGACAAAAAAAAAACCTGTGTGGCAACAGCTTTGATTACACACATACACAGGCAAAATCTATAAAATTTATGTGCATCTTTAATGAGAGTGATGAGAAAAGAGGATTAAAATTGGGTAGTCCATTCATATCATTCGTAAATGGTGCTGATGACTATCCGGTTGTTTGGTTTTGGTGCATGGCAGTAGGGGTGTACATAGTATGAAATTAAGATTTGGTAATCCTTGCTTTCCGCTTGCAAATGACGTTTGGTTTGTCCATCAAAAAAGTCGTCAAGGAAAAGTCTATACTGCATACTGCAGGACTATATCAGGCGATGCTTATTAATAGATAATAATAATACTGCGTACGTATCACTTGCACCTTTAAAGGACAATCCTGCGAGAGGATATCACACCAAATGTGCCAAGGACTTGGTTACAACTACACACAGTTCCCCAACCGTTTCAACCATCGTAGCCAATATCAAGCCATGTTAGAGATGCATCAGTTCTACCCTCTTGTAAAGGTTGGTTGTTCGAGTTCTTTGAAGRAGTTTCTATGCTCCATGTACATGCCAAAGTGCTCTAAGACTCTAGTACCGCCATGTCGCTCGTTATGTAAACAGGCAAAGTCGGGCTGTGGAGCAATGATGAAAAAACTTGGTATTTCATGGCCAAAGAAAACTAAATGTTCAAGGTTTCCAGATTATGAAAACGAGTCATGTATTTCATCCACAGAAAACAAAAGCGGTGAGAAGATTTCACGAAAAATATTTGCTAGATCAAACTCCAGTCGACTCAATAGATAGACTGCGAGCAGTCCCAACTTTTCCTTCAGACTAAGTAAAGACGAGTGTTTTGAGATTTCTGTGGACGCGTGCGGAGATTGGAGCGAGTAAACAGCCGAGTAAGCTTAACTGAGTCTAGAGGGGAAAGTGGGACTATTCGCAGTCTCCTCAATAGATCTCTTTAGCTTTAGCTTAATGTGCTTTTTCATACAACTTGTCACTCCCTAGTCTCCCCCCCCCCCCCCCCCCCCCCCTCCCTGCCGTTCTTAGTGTCGTAACGCAACGCCCACAGTGGAGAGGGAGCGTAGCGTGACGACACTAAGAACGGCTACGTGGGACTGACTAGTCATTCCCTAGAACCGGTATAATTTCTCTCCACACGGACACCAACGGCTTTGATAACCTTTTTTTACTTTGAATATTTGAAAGTATCTTTAGGAGGGATCAAAGCAACACAAGGAAGCAGATGTGAGAAGATAACGATACCATTATGTCCAGGAATGTCGTACAACTACACAATGTATCCCAACCTGTTGAATCATAAAACTCAAGTCGAAGCAGGTCTAGAGGTCCATCAGTTCTATCCTCTGGTGAAAATCAAATGTTCCAGCGAGCTGAAAAAGTTTTTATGTACATTGTACGCACCAAGGTGTTCCGATACTCTCATCCCTCCTTGTCGCTCATTTTGTGAACTTTCCAAGAGCGGTTGTCAAAAATTGATGCATAGATTTGGTTTCACTTGGCCAGCGAGTCTTAACTGTTCTTTATTTCCGGTAGAAGGAGGTGATAGGAAGTGCATTGCACCGAAATACGGCAGTGGTAAGTATCTTACAAGTGTCCCGACACACATTGTTGAGACACACATGGAATTGAGTTTCATTGATTCTTCCACAAGATTTCTTATCTGTGGAAACGTCTCTCGTGGCAATAACCTAAAGGTCCTGCTACACTAAGCATTTTTCTCAGCAAATTGCTGTCTTGCAATGCTTGAAAATGTATTGTTACGAGTTGCCGAGGTGAAGTGTTACACTGCAACGCGATCTCAGCAACTTGCAACACTTTTTGCTCCTTGGAACTTTAGACGATAGCCTATTACATGTACCTGATTTCCCTGTCGTGACTGCTGCTTCGATCGGCGCGTAGCAATGAAAAGAGCGGCAATTAATTTAATGCAGTTAGTGTATTGTTCGTGATCAACTGAGGTATAATCTTACAAAAAAAATGCAAATTAATGACATTTTACTTCACCAGATTTCGCGACAACAACCAAGCCCACCACAGAAATTAGTACCATTAGTTTTGGCCCAAAAAGTAAGTGATTCGACTGTTTTAATTGTAAAATAACTGCATTTATAGATATTTTGATGCTATTATTAATTCTTGTAATTTTTTGAATGTCACTTTCAGAATTTAGGACATTACTAACAAAGGTTCAAGGCGTTTTTACGTCACCCAATTATCCAAAACCCTACCCCCAGGATATTGAAATTAACTGGACCATCGAACTTCCGGATTCGTACAAGTTGATTAAAATCACGATGGAAAAGATGCGTCTGGAAGAGGATCGAAACTGCCTGTAAGTATAATTGAATCACGTCCCTYGTGCCATACGCAGACTGAACACCACAACTAATCACACATCATCATCAYCTACTGTGACATGCGCAGATGTACTGGGCCCGGTTGTACGAAGCCTGGATAGCGCTATCCGGCGGATAYTAGAATCCTTATCCAGTGGATAAGTCGATAAATTTATCCACTGCATAAGATTTATCCGTCGGATAGCGCTATCCAGGCTTCGTACAACCGGGCCCTGGATGATAACCAATCATATCATCGCCGGTATAATGTGACATGCGCAGACGTAGAAGATATCCGCACCCAATCACACATCACCATCCATTGAGGCATGCTCAGAAAAAGAACATCGCAACCAATCACAAATCATCTGATGCACTGGATAATGTGCACTGGATGAGAACCAATCATATATCATCAGACACTGTGATATGCACAGATGTAGAAGACATCACCCAATCACTCATCGCCATTCATTTTGACATGGACCATCCATTTTAAGGGACCATGCGCATTCTTAAGGTTTCCTCTGTAGGTGACCCTCACTTATCTCGATCGTTTCAGATACGACTACATTATAATCAAGGATAAGATGCTTAACCAAGTAGGACCTCGTCATTGTGGTACATATCGTTACCCTTACGAAGTGCTGGTCAGGGGTAACAAAGCCATAGTAAACTTTGTATCGGATGGCAGTACGAGTAAAGCAGGCTTCGTCATAAAATATAGAGGACTTGTAAGTATATTGTGAGTTGCTGGACCACTCAAACCACAAACATATGCTTAAAAGATGAGCTTAACTAAAAACGTTTCTGCTAGCATTTTATCATACAATAGCGGTCATTTTAGTCGCATGCACGTGATAGGCCAAATCGCGTGATTATACGAGTCAAAGTGATTGGCTGATTGTTTTATTGCGGGATTATTTGTGTTATATATCCAGGGCTAAAATACTCAAACAGTTTTTAATACGCGCTTCAACATTTGATAGCTTCGTTTCCTACAGGTGTTGAATACAGAAGGGAAAATAATTTTTATAAACTTACTTTTTTTCCATTTTTTTTCTTCTTTTCCTCGTTCTTTCCCGCTATTCTTTTTTCCTTAATCTTGTCTTCTCCAGGGATTCAATATAATCCGAATGCAACTGAATTGCTTCCATTTTCTCTATTCCTTTTCAGCAAARTGATTCCTAATTTTTGAAAGTGGAAACTGCAATGAAGAAGAACAAAACTGATGGTCATATGCTAGAAATGAGAGTAATGGGCACTCCTTCATAGTTTTTATGTTTACTTAACCTTGTCATTATTTAAATATTGATTTTGTTCGTTTATTTGCTTCATCTGTATTCGTATCAAGTGTTGAAAAAACACAGTGTATGTGGTGAATTCTTTTAAGAATAATTAAAATAAATCAAAGTTTTAAATTAAGTGGATAGACTCTTGACGTAAAATGGATAAGTTAATTAAAAAAAGATGAAGATATACAAATACGTACTTTGTCTGTTAATGCTGATGAAGGGTAAGGCTAATTATCATACTCATTAATTATTCATAGGGACTTCCTAGGACTGAATTAATTTTGTTCCAGCTACTCCAAGTCGAATAATTAATGAGCATAAGTAGTCATTTCAAAGCCACCAATATCGGACTGGATGTGATTTCAAGTCCGCGTAATTAGTTCGGCTGCGCCTCCGACTGAAACTAATTGATTCCACTTGAAATCCCCCGTCCAGTCCTCATTGTCGGCTTTGAAATATTGCTTCCAGATCGAATAGAAAGGAGGGACCGGAAATGTGGAGAACCCGGAGCTATACGCATGCACGTCTCCATCATGGGAGTTTTTTTAGTCAAGCGCAGTAAGTGGTCGACGGAGGCTACATGTACTGGGACGTCCGCACCATTTGCAACTAGTWTTATGATTGGTCTATAGAACAATAAATAGTATTACAATGACAATAGATCGGACTTTCAAACAATTGAACTAAATATGACCTAACATAGGTGGTGCTTTACTAAGGAGTCATCAGAAAAATAGGTTCTAATCAGTCACGTCATACTGAATGCGCTCATATCTTCACTGAGAAACCTACATTTTCCGTCTTTATGCTCTCAGTCATGGCCTGGTGTAGACAGCTCTTATGCTCTCATTTTAGTGATGTTATTGGTCGGTTGATGTGATTTAGTGCAAGTAAAACCATCTGGCGGAAGTCATTGGTGTTTTCTATTTTTCTTGATGGTAATAGCCTTACACGAATATTCTAAGAGCAAATCAAAGAACTAGTAAGGGCACTATTTATTATCCCCTGGAGGAGAACTGAACAATTTTTGTTGTGATAGGAGCGYGTATACGAATGATTGTTGATTCTCAGTTGGACAAAAAGTGCCAAATTTCAAGATTATACAGAAGAGCGCAACTAACGCACATCCTTTCAACAACTAGGAACGCAGCGCATACGAAAAATTTTGTAACTCTGAGCTGATAAGCCGCATAGCCCTAGCACAATGATTGTGAAGAGCAGATAGAATAAGGCCTTGATAAGAGCCGAACAGAACAACTGTACATAAGACCACAGCAAAGCAGAGCAACGAAATTGCTCTCTTTAAGTTTATACATTTTTATTTACCTATTTCAAGTCTAGTGCCACTATCAGTATTAATGGTAATCTCAAATAAACAGGCTTTAACACCGCAGTATCTTTTTATCCAGTTATGATTATTGAACATAAACGTATGGTTTTGATTCAGACTTTAAATGACAAACATGAACAGCGTCATTCTTTTCGGGGTTGTCATGGTGACTGGCTGGAGCATGAGTGCCAGTAGATTTAAATGATCTAGTTACTGACGTCTTTGAAATAAAACAAATGATTTGATTGCTGGAGATAAGTAAATAGTCATGTTAGTCTACTTTATCAAGAGGTATTATCGTAATTTGAGAGGACAATAGCTGGTTGAAGCTAAAAGGGTCAGTGGGCCGAAAATATGAAAATATGTCGAAGTCTTTTTTATCTTGTCGAGCATGCGCAGTAGGAAATAACAGCTCTGGGTACGAGATTGTTATTGAGTTCTGAAAATTGAGTTTTGTTTTTTGCTTGTTTTTTGTTTGTTTGTTTTTTGTTGTTTTTTTGTTTGTTTTTTTTGTTTTCGTCTTTTTATTATTTTTTTATTATTTTTGTTTATTTTTGTTTTTTGTTTKTTGTTGCACACTGAGCAGAAGTTCGATCTCTCTACTTTTTCCAACAAATAAATTTGCATATTTATGAAGTCCTGAAGATTTCTTTTTTAGAAATCATAGTTAAGAGAAATAAAATGCGAAACTCTAAGAGTTTCTTGTCTGTATATTTCTATTGAGACATTTGTATTTTGCAATGACCCGTCTTAATAAGGGTTTATTACTCAACATTTGCATTTCCTGTTTATTTTAGGGATCCCTCCCAGCGCTTGCGAAAAGATAACAGCACCAGGCATGTGCGGCCAAGGAATTTGATACAACTACACAAAGTTACCAAACGTCTTCGAAGCACAGCATCCAATCTGAAGCGGCATTTGTTGTCCATAAGTACTTGCCTCTCGCACAGGTAGGCTGGTCAAGCTCGTTCAAGAATTTCGTGTGTGCCGTTTACTTCCCGATGTGTAGTGAAACTGGTAGTACAGTCCCGCCTTGTCGCTCGTTGTGTGAAAAAGCCAGAAATGATTGCTAGCCCATGATGAAGAAAATGGGTGTTTCTTGGCCGAAAAACTTTGGGATTGCTCGAGCTTTCCAGTAAAAGATGGTGCTCAAGCTTGCATCCGTAAGTATAAGATATAGTATGGGGATCAGAGGATTTAGGGGGATCACATGGAGAAACKCAAATGAAAAAAAAAATTGAAACGGGAGAAACGCTACTATTATTTAAATGTTATTTATAAAATATGAATTTTATTTACGTCTTGATACGGGGATTCTTTGCCCATTTTCCCTAGAGATAGGTTAATGTAGTATACGACTCACCACACCACACTCACTACCGCTACTTAAAATTCAAAGCACAGAACTCTCAACTCACACGTGTGTATATAAATTGATATATCATCGATTATTCATTTATTTATTTTTAAATAAAACTTAATCAGTCTCAAAACCAGAGATGAAATGTGGAGAAAATCTTACAAAAGTTCAAGGGTTTTTTAAGTCACCCAATTATCCGAAACCGTTCCCCCAGGGGATTATATGCAATTGGATCATCCAGCTTCCTGATTCGTACAACGGGATAAAAATCACGATAGAAAAGACGCGTCTGGAGGAGGATCGACACTGCCTGTAAGTACAATTGACTAGTCTTCGTTTGAGTAGTTGCACTGTCCTCGCACCCAAATCTCCTCSATTTCGTTGCAAGTACATGAAAACCTGGAAACGCATGCGCAAAGACTACGATCAATCACATATCATCACGTGATAAAATTTACAGGCCAAATTCGTGGAAAAAAGTTTGACTTTGTCTGTAACCCATATTAAAGTTATCATCATTATCAGCAGCAGCAGCAAACAAAGAGGACCACAGCCAATCACGTATCACTATTGAATGTGACATGCGCAGACGTAGAGGACATCACCCAATCACACAAAACTATCCATTGTTACTTGTTCAGATGCTCTGGATGATAACCAATCATATATCATCAGATACTGTGACATGCGCAGACGTAGAGGACATCACCTAAATATCTCTTATCACCATCCATTGTACGCATGCGTAGCCGTACTGAATGATAACCAATCCCCTCAATTATCTCGTTTCAGATACGACTACGCTCTCAGTCTCGTTGACTGTCAGCGTTGAATGGACGCCGATTGAAAGTCACGTGTACGCTTACCTATGGCAGATGGGGGGTGAGCCACATTGCATTCCCCTATACCCCACCGGATATCCTATGGTATTGCGTAAGAAGCTATACACGTTAACTTATTGTTCACAGGAAACATTATACAAAGCCTCTTCCATGAAAACATAAAATTTCTATTTGCCAGCAAATATTTTCTATTTCATCACGACGACACATGAAAACAATATTTTGCTTTAATTCTAAGAATTATGGTGGCGATAGGGGGACAAAACAGCAAAAACCCAAAGTAAACGGTTAAAAAAATTATTTTGTAGTGATTAGGGAAGCAATGACAGCATCATATACCATATAACCATATATATTGTAGGATAAATACCGATTTATATAACATTTGATACCAGATATATCAGAGCTGCTGTAAATTCAGCTGCATAGTAAAATTAGTCGTTACCATTGTTTTTCACCGTTCTGCCCCTTTTATAAACAAGTGGAATGGGGCAATAGCACGTTTGGCATGAGGGTTTCATTAACCTCTACTACCAGACTCCCTTGCACACTTTCTTGTGTTCAGTTAATTAGCACCAATTGTCTTACTATTCTCATGAATACAAATTTGAATAAGAAAGAAAATTCGCGAAGCATCATAGTCATGACGCCATCATGCAAACGTCCTATTCAAATGTAGAGCAATAGCTTACTCAACTACTTACATACCTTAAAGATGACCATGAAGTTTGTTGAAAGACATTTCTTTTTTTCCTTCACGCGAAAGTGCTAATGTTTTTCCTTCTTGTAGTTTTCAAGCAGAAAATGGATTCCTGGTTTATGAACAAACAAAAGAAGAATCAAGCGGCGAAACTAAAACTATTTGTTGCCATTTTTTATGTCCTAAATGTGTTCCTTCTATTTTTGTGCTTAGAGACCTTGACCTTATTTTGGGGGGTTTATAGACTGAGAGATTTCGTATGGATGATCATGACTTCACGGTGTGAATATATGTCCTGCTGTGGTGTGACTGTGTCATTCTGCGCCCTGTCCCCGCGTATGTTTAGAAGTGGATGTTTACATGAAAGTAGGACCCCCCTACTGCTAGGGTTTGCTCTTTTTAGAGAATCAAAAGACTATTTAGGATCACCCTATAATGGACTTTTTTCCATGCGCTGTCATTGGTCCAATGACGTAATAATTGATTTTGTTCCGTGGTGGTGCCTTGGGCGATGGCTGTACATTTGTACGAAATGTTTCTGAAATATTAGTGACAAAAGCATTCTTATCGAAATAAAGATTGTATAATCGAAATATATTCAAAAAAGTGATAGAAAACACCTAGTTGATATCGATATATGTAACGGTTAAAATAAGATATAACATGACATAATTATAAACATAAATAGTACGCGCGCTCTACTGGTTCATGAAGACACTACACAGCCTGGAATACGGTGTCTGGGGATAAGGGATCTCGTGCGAGCGCTGGTAAATTCCATTGCTGTTAAATACGACATACAATGGCAGCTAATGACTAAATACTGCGATTGAAAACCAGCTCAGACTAGCCGAATACTCAACAAGACATCCAAACCGTGGACCAACTTCAAATCCGCTTGTCCTTTAGTGTCTTAGTACATTTTGAACTCAAAAAGACATCCAATGCTGGCCTTTGTTTGAGTATTTTTTGTKTGGGTGCATTTGAAGGTAAGCGGCTCTATGATCTTTCCTAGTACCGTTGGCTGAATGCACGTTAAGGCGATTTCCTTCCAGTTAATTATGGCTCCAGTYATTCTCAAAATCCGGAATATTTGTACTATCCAACGAGGGAGGGAAGCATGTATTCTTACATACCGCCGTGTGTTTTTCAGCTGGTTATAATCACTTGACCCTTTTAATTGAAGACGCTGGTTTCATAATATGCTTAAAATGGATGTGCTCTCATCCAGCTCTAACAACGGTGATCCTCGGATGTCCCGCCTAATCTATATCTCTTTATCTTGGGGGATTTAAGCAGGCTTTGAATGCCGCGTTGCAAGCTGCATAGAGCAATCAAGTCACAACAGAAACCAGGAGGTTTAACTTTGCATCAATTATAGTTTTTGGTACGTTTTTTTTTTTCGTATGTTTTATAAGTTTGTGTAATTTGTTGCTTATTTATTTAAAGATTTATCATCATTATCGCTATCTTATCGTCATCAGATACGAACGCGCTTTCAGAACGCACAGCACACTGACTTGTTAACGCTTTGCTCACGAAATGCGTTCATAACACGATGTTCTGTTTGTCATGAAAAAAATGCGTTAAAAATCTTAGCGTCTAATTATTACATCTATACATATATTTTTTTCTTGTTCTCTTTAATTTTTATAACGATTCAGCGTAAATTTTGAATTAATGTCTGGCTTTCTATCTATACTTTTTCGTATCTTTAATTTTTATAATGGTGCAGCGTAAATTTTGAGTTAATGTCTGTTCTTACTTAGTTATATAAATATTTAGATTACACATAACTGGATTACAACCAGATATTCACAGGCATACCATTCTCAAACAGGAAGGAAACGTTATATACAAAACACGCCTAATTCATCTCCCTCATCATCCCGCCTTGGCTGGGTTTCCTTTGCCTGAGAAAAAAAGAGTAGAGACTAGGGTATAGTAAAGATGTTTCCAAAGGAATCCCATCAGTATAGAAAATGTGGATGATGAAGTTCAATGGAATTGAAGTGGGCTGAAGTAAATTTTTAAATGAAACTTCAGCGGAATACGGTTCAAGGACGGAAGATACAAACGTGATGTACGCTTTGCTTTGACGGACACAAATGACAAACAACACAGAAACCGCTACAGGAAATCGGACTTTTCTCCTCAAATCTCCTTAAGAAGGTCACTGACATTTTGGTCGGCAAAATGCGTCGATAAAAGCAGAGCGCGCACTCACTCTCGGAAATAATTTAACTCCTTTTAAACTAAGCCTTTAACTTTTGCATGACGCAGATCTTAAATTAGAAGGTTGCAAAGACGCAAAGACCGCACGCAGGATGTCGAGCTTATATTTTTGACTGCCTTTACAAACCCCATTGGCAGGTTACATACTTAGACATTTTTAAAAAGCGAACTATAATCGGCCGCGAGACAGACTGTGCGAAGGTGAGTATYTTTGTACAATAACTACAACTTTGAACTATGCTTGATACTTTATAACATGCAGAAGAGTTTTCTTTCTGGTCGAAAATTCATGTCACAATTTAAAACTCATTCTCTCGGTTTTTTTGCTAAATAACGATAATKCCATAATTCTATCACAAGTTTTTTTTTGTGTGAAATATATGTTTCTCTCTTTTGCGCCCTCGTTATGTGAAGCCAGCTAAATAATAAACTTTGAAACTACAAATTTTGAAGATTTTAGTACAAATTTTTTTTGCGAAACTCTCTCTCTCCGGACTCTAGTAAAACAAAATTTTCATTCTGATACAATGATCTTGCCATTGGTAAACTTAAATATTATTTTATATGTTATGACAGTTGGTTTCAGTGGTTAGTTATTGCAACATTCCATTGAAGGGAAAAAACAAGATTTTTTTACTGATAACCCAGAGTATCATATGGACACTTACAGATAGCATCGAAGTTTAGCTTCTTATGTTTAAAATTAATTAAAGGCAGCTTGTTGATTAGTTCATCGACACTCAGTGATACTGAATCAGTATTTTAGTCTTCAATGTATTCTGAATTATCTGTTGTGTTACTTTTTCTGTGTGTCCTAGATCAATCTTTATTCCTAATTCCTCTCCTTCTCCTCCTCCTTCTCCTTAAATCATCATTATTATTTTCGTCCTCTTCTTCGTCTTCTTCTTCTTCTCCTTCTTCTTCGTCTTCTTCTTCTCCTCCTACTTCTTTTCCTGCTTTTCAGTTTCGTTTTCTATTTTAAAAGGAAAGGCTTTATTAATTTCGAATTTAAAAATGATCTTATATCTGTTTATTTTTTCTTCTTGAAATTTTAGTTCTACCGAACGAGAAATATGAAGCAACCAGTTCTTCTTTTATTCCTTGTTGTCATGGATACTGGTCGAAGCTTGACCATAGGTATGCATAAAAATTTCGATAAAAATCCTTACAGTTACCATGGCTACCATTTGGTTTCTCCGAATTTTTAATCGGGCAGAGTTTATTTTAACCATTACCACTTCAATCTGTTGACAGGGAGCACCATAGGAAGCAATTGCGAAAGGATAACAATACCAATGTGCCAAAACATTGGCTACAACTACACGATGTTCCCTAACATATTCAACCATCGTAGTCAAAGCGAAGCAAGTGTCGCGCTCCGACGTTACATTCCTCTTGTAGACTGGGTATGCTTCAAGTGGCTGCCAAAGTTCCTCTGTTCCATGTTCGTACCTGTGTGCACTAACACAAGTGTTATAATACCTCCGTGTCGCTCGTTGTGTGAACAATCCAAGCAGGCCTGTCTGCAACTGGTGCGCACCTTCGGTGACGACTGGCCAAAGAACTTTGACTGTGCTAACTTTCCAGAGGAAGGATTGGGGAAAAAATGTATTGCGGAGAAACTAACCACAAAAGGTAATCTTTTTATTAAACATTTGGATGCCGGGAGGGAAAAAATAGGTCGAGTTGACATTGCAGTGCATTTTTGGGGCTGTTTAAGGGGACGAATCAGCCGCCATCTTGGAAATATGTCTCTTAAAGCATCCCCATAATGCATTGCAATGCCAATTCGACCCAGTTTTTTCCTCAACCTCAGAATGATTAATCGTGGAGATGTGATTCTTAAAACTTTTTGCACTCTTTATCGATYCATTTTGAGTTTGTTTTGATATAATTGGTTTGGTTTAGCTACTCTGCTTCATTAGTTGGTAATTTTTCTTGGTTGAGGTTTGTTTACTTGATGGGATGATCGGTCGGTCGGTTTGGTGGTCGGTAGGTTGCTTTGGTGCTCGGTTGTGTATCTCCTCTTTTACTCCGACGAAGGACTAGCGTCCGAAACGTCAGTAAGTTTTTTCATCTTTTCACGGTGTATAATTTACCTTTTCATCATTACTGGTTGTGTATCTGTTTAGTTTATTAGAATGATTTTCACATGACCGTGAAAGAAAATAGACCATTTAGTTTGTAATAGTTGATAAAGAACAAAAGAAAATCATTGGTTTAGAGTCTACTACTAACTATTAGTTTGCCTATTCTTTCACGATCAGATGAAAATCACTCTAGTTGATCGGTTTGGTAGGTTGGCTGGTCGATCGGCTCAGGTTAATTGGTTCTTCACTTGTTCAGGTGCCGGTGGTCGTTTGACCGGTTTATTTGGATATTGTCAKTTTTCGGCTTGAAAATTCGGCTTATCCAACTTTTCAGTGCATTGTGTTTTGTCAATAGATGTGAACGCTTGTGACGTCATAGCCGCCATGATGGATAAATGCCAACAATGTTATTTCTTAATTCAAAAATATCGAGCAAGCGGCGGTCATTTTATGGTTGATCCTCTTACGGAATGTTTGCACTCCCAAGAATCGATAAGTTTTTTTTATCAAAGTATCATCGCATTATTCCCATCCACAGCTGTAGCAACAACAACTTCTCACACAAAACTAGTTATTCCTACCACAAGAAACCCTAGTAAGTAATGATTTGTCTTCTGCGGACCGTTTTCATGTCTTCGTTGGGGGAAAAACAAAGATKTTGCTAGGTCTGATTGACTCACATTCAAGGTCTCCAGATCGATCGAAAGAGATCTAAATGATATTTATAGCAATATAGATAAGTAATAGTGCTTGGGAACGAGGTTATTCCAGGCGAAAGACCCTTGGAAATAAATTCGGAAAAATTAATTTCCGACCTCGCTGGGAATCATAAATAACATTTAGTTCAGTAATAAACTAACAAAATTAAAACCAGGATGTTGATGAAAGGAAGTCCTGTTATATAGATCGTGCAGCCTCTGACCTTTGACCTTTGACCAGGGGCATATCCAGATCCAGGATTTCCCATTAGAGGGTAGGGTAGGGTGGAGTGTTCTCTCTCCACTAATCTTATCAAATCATATCCTTCCCCCCAAAACACATACATATAACTATTAAACTGCGAATTCATGGAAAGGGGTTCCCAGGCACCCAAAGAAACACCCCCTACCTTTAAGACGTTTACAAGGATATTTATTTTTCTCGACAGACGTTGACAGCAAATGCCGAAAAGACGAATTTCAATGCCAAAGTTACGATTCAGATCAAGATATGTGTATCCCTAAGATCTGGAGATGTGATGGAATGAATGATTGCAAGGATTCAATTGATGAGAGGTTTTGCTGTTAGTATTATTTCATTTATATTTACGTTCACAAATTGAAGTGTGTGGCCTACTAGATGTGTGGTGACATGGATGACGCATAAATGCCACGTGAATTACTCAAGGCGGGGGGAAGTAGACCTCTTCACCTTGGGAGTAAAGTTTTTGCATTTGTTATCCCGCCACGTGTCATCCTCTTGAGAATGAGATTATTTGTTTGAGTTGCGTCCATATTTATGTGTCTTCTCATGCTAAACCGATAAAGAAAGAAGTATTACTCTAGGGAATGACACGTGGTCAGAAATGGGCAAATCATTACGCCCAAGCTAAAGAGGTCTGTTACCACGCCGTCTTCCTCCCAACCACCTTATGATGCGCATGCGCCTGAATATGTAAAAATCTGTTCATGCTTCTATTAGATACTAAAAGTTCGGGGGTTACTGCACTGTTTGTATTTTAAATTCTAAAGCTAAATTAAGACCCTTGTAAGACAAATATTAAGTCATCTCCAGAAGTAAATACTCTATATATTTACAATACTATTTTTTCTTTTTATAAACGGAGAGTTTGTGAGAGATTCATGGTGAGTCGTGGATTTTTAAAATGTTAATGCTAGAAACGTTCTTAAATAAATATTGATTTAAATATTAACGAGTAAAGTTAAAGGGGAAATAACTGAGAGATAAATTAATGTTATGCTGGACTTACTTTGATGACTTGTTGCTGCATGTAACTCACTGCTTCAATTGCTGGGTTTCAATCAGCTGACACTTGAAAAACTCTTTGAATCTCATTATCTGCTCCAAATAGTGGTCAAACGCTGACCACCATGTGCTGTCAGCCAGGAAGAATTCTATTGAAAACTTGTGATTCAGCTGATGAACATTCCACACGAGACAGGAAATGACGTCACGTGAAACCCTGCAATTGAAAAAATACTCTCAGATATTTGAATAATCGTATAACGTTGATGTACTAACACGTTGTCCCCCAGAGGGCGGGTGCATAATCGATAATGCATTCACGCACCGCACCCTGGATGCAATGGATGCACTTTCACGTCAAAATTGGAATCTTCGATTGCACGTTATGTCATCGCAGCCATATTGGCGCCATTAAACAAAATATTTCTCATTAGCATCAATTGTTAACGGCACCACAATGGCTGCCATGTTTTTGTCTTTTGACTCGCTTGGGAATGGTTGCAGCCCATCAATGAATAAATGAATGAATAACGCTATTTAATTTGCGTAATAGATATATAGTATATACTAAAAATAAATATATGTTTAAAAAATCATATTATAATATGATTGTATCATTTGGAAAATCAGAACCCCTGAAAATGCCTTTGTTATTGGATGTTCTCTTGATCAGTGCTAGCTAGAAAACATGTTAATGAAACTGTATTTATCAAATTGAATAACTTGATCTATTTAATTATTTTACAGCTACTATAGGAACGACGACCAGGATGCCAACGACCACTAAAGGTAAGTAATATTAAGAAATACAAAATAGAGAGACCCAATTTTAAACTCTGGGTTTTTGATATGAAACTGTAGACCAAGATAAATGCATGTGTTGCGAATACACGACACCTTTAATATGGGCGTAATGCATGGTTTCTTATTTCAGACCACGTGTCATTCCCTAAAGTAATATTTTTTTTCTTTGATGGTTGCACATGAGAAGACACATAAATATGAATACAATTTTAACAAAGAATCTTGTTCTCAAGGGAATAACACGTGGTCATCTGAAGTGGGAAACCATGACGCCCAAGGTAAAAAGGAGTATCCACACTGCTTGGTTAACACCTTAAATGTAGGGAATAATACTCAAGGGAATGACACGTGGTCATCTGAAATGGGAAATCATGACGCCCAAGCTAAAAAGGAGTATCCACACTGCTTGGCTAACACCTTAAATATAGGGAATAATACTCAAGGGAATGATATGGGCACTGAAATGGGAAARCATTACGCCTAAGGTGAAGAGGTCTATTTAGTTTGATTATACATTACTATTATGCATCTTAGGTCCGATAGTATACTCTTTATGCCAGGGAATAAGCAGCCCAATACGCAACGTTTGCAGTCGGTTGGGTTACACGTATACAAGACTACCGAATAGATTTGGGCACACCAATCAAGACCAGATTATTCGAGCTCTTGGTGGCTGGCCCGAGGCCATTCGTAAGCAGTGCTCTCCTTTGTTGGAGGATTTTCTATGCAGAGTGTATGTACCACCGTGTGATAAAGACGAAACACGGACTCCTTGCAGGTATAGAAATCTGCCTATATAAGCCTTGTTAAAAAGCCTTGGGCCCCGTCCACACGTATCCGCAAATTTTCGTATCCGCAAATTTTTTTTTACGGATACTGGTTGCATCCACACGTGTCCGCAAATTTTTGTTTCCGTATCCGCAAATTTTACGAAAACGGATACATGTGGACGGTGAAAACGATACGAATACGCTGCGTGTGGACGCAAACATTTTCGTATCCGCAAAAAAAATTTGGCGGATACAAAAATTTGCGGATACGTGTGGACGGAGCCTTAGAAACCGTAGAAACAGCCTCTGATCGAGCTAATCAAATTCAGGACATGATTGATTAATTTTACAGTTTGTAATGAAGTTTGTCGTATTAAGGGGTTTTGCGGAGGGACGAAAATTTTCACATTTATATATATTATCTTACTCAATTTTTAAAATATTGAATACTTCTTGCGCGTAATTAATTTTCAGTTGTTTTCTTATCTCTCTTTTATATTTTTTTCATTTTTTTCTTCCGTTTTCTTTCTTTCTTTTTTTTCATTTTTTTTTTCATTTTTTTATTTATTTTTGTTGTTGTTGTTTTTAGATCAATGTGTAAAAAAGTAAAGAAATCTTGTCGCAAAACTTTGAAAAGAATAAAAATGAAATGGCCTGCATCGCTGCGATGCGGCAAACTACCAAAGAAAAGATGTCATGGAGCTGTTCATAAAAATATTTTGCCAAAGAAAGTGAAGTCGTCTAAAGGTTAGTTAAATGAATGGGATGGGATGGGATGGGATGGGATGGGATGGATGGATGGATGGGTGAATGGGATGGAATGGGATGGGATGGGTGCTTGGTTCAAAACATAGTAGAAGCATACATATACAAAGATAGAAAGAAAGCTAATTGTGACTATGTATCGATTCATTACAGATAATTGCRAAAACATAACATTAAAAATGTGTCAAGGAATTGGATACAACTATACTAAGTTTCCCAACATGTTCAGCCATCAAAATCAAGCAGAAATCGCCTTTGAAGTCTATCAATACCTACCTCTCATAGAAATCCAGTGCTCGAGTTTCTTAAAGAGGTTCTTGTGTTCCATGTACCTCCCAAGATGCACGACAACAGGAACAACTATACCACCATGTCGATCATTGTGTGAACACTCCAAGAAAGGTTGCGAGCCACTTATGAAGAGATATGGATTTGGYTGGCCAGCGAAATTTAACTGCGCAAGCTTCCCAAAGCTTGGAGATGAATTTTGTGCGGTCTGAAAAAGATAGTTTATGGAGAGTTAGATTACGGCATGGCAGCTGTTGAGATCGAAAAACTTGAAGATGTCTTGGAGATTCTTCATACTAAGTTGAATATTTTAATAGATGACTCGATCTTGCTGGTGTCGACTGAATTTTTGCTGTTGCGAACGGATTCTAAAGGATTTTGCTAAGAAATAGAAAATGAAATATATAAAACTGAGTTGAAACAAAAGAAAAAATTAAGGAAAAAACAAAAAAAAGTCCAAGGAAAAAAGGAAATATGAGAAGGTTAATGTAGACCGAAGAAAGAAGAAAGGAAGAAAGAAAGGGAGAAAGGAAGAAGGACATTTGTTTAGTCAACAATAAGGCCTTACAAAAATGGATATATGGAACCAAGTGAAAGCAACGGGGCGATTAAAACACCAAAAGACTTAGAATAGCGGCTTTGCACCATAACGTGATGGCAGCCATGACAGGGGGCATAACAATAGAGTCTTTTCCCCCTGGGAATCTGAATTATTTCTCATATAAATCAGATTAGACCAGATTCAATTGTTCCTGCCTCCTGTCATGGCTGCTATCACGTGATGGTGCAAAGTCTTTAGTAACATTGGCTTTACTAAAGTCTACTCCGCAACTATAACAACAAATACTTCTACGTATAATTATAATTCCACTTAAAAACAACTAAACTGAGCTCGAAAATAAAGAAAACTTGTGAACACACTTTATTTGATATGTGACATTGTACCTTTATAATAAAAGGAAGCATTCATATTCTAGGAGGTGAGGGTGGGCCGGAGGAATTCCAACAAACAGTAATGTAAAATATTTAGCTCTCTTTCCTTCCGGTCTGCATTAAAAAAAGCGACCCTTACCCCTTCAAATTTGTTGCATTCTTGACCCTTCCCTTTACGTTGTAATATGAAATATTTGGTGACTCCCCTTTTTGAATGAGTGAAAATTAATGGACCTCCCCATCCCCCTACACCACCCACCCACCCCCTCCTAAAAAAATGAATGCTCTCTAACAAACATTAAGTCACGAAATCATGCTGAAGCTGCACTGAAATAATATTAAATTAATTTTACTATTAACTTATTTCTGCTACTTCATTGATTACTCAAACGAAAATCACTGGTGTAAGCCTTTCACTGAAAGCCTCCATAATATATATAAACTCATAGTGTGAAGATCATTGAGATCATCATACCAAAAATATTCTACAGGATTGCCATCTTTTTCCCCTAAAAACATTGTTTTGTTGTTGAAGATTTCAATCTAATGAGGAAGGGATAAAACAAAAGAAGAAAAATCTTTTGGACATAATGGGGGATTCGAAAGGCACCAAAAAAAAAAAAAAAAAAAAAAAAAAA